TAAGTGTTTAACGTCTATGAACACCTACAATACCAGAAGTATTACGCGCGCGTTGCCGATCCTGAAGAAACCTCTTTACCCCCCTTTTGAAGAACCCCATGCTGTAGTCTTTTGGGAAAACCTCGGCAGGGAGCTCATTCCATAACCTGAGTGTTCGTAGGAGGAAACATCTCTGAAACCGCGAAATTATTTTGAACTCACAATCTTTGTAGTCTAATTGGGATAGTAGGTCACGAAGAAGCCTCACAAACTTTAATTATACAACTTTTGTCAGATTAGAGAAACGTTGTTTTATCCCCCATCCCCTAGCTGCCCCCAACCTACCTAAGTACCTTACGGGTCCATTTTTTTCTTATCAGAATAAAATCTATTCGATCTTTTAAAGTAAGAACAAAAAAATTACAAAATTTCATTAAAATAGGTTACGCGATTTTGACGTTAAAGTATCGAACATAGTGACATGGGATTTTTATATTTTAACCCCCACTCATAAAAAAGAGAATTCAACAAAACCTCTCATAAAAACATTTTAGTTATAGAACTGTTTTGTCTCTATCTTTAGTGCTATATTCTCAGTTTAAAAAAAGTGACAAAAATAATATTTAAAATAGGTTTGTAGGAGGTAGATAGATAGATAGATACTCTTTATTGTTTCCTCCAAAAGATTACAACAGAAAACCAGTTATAAATATAAACAATTACAAGTTTTATAAGTCGGTAAGAATATTACGGATATTCTTACCCCCTTATTCATAAATATTGATAAAACAAAACATACAACAATTCATACAAAAAATATATAATTAATGTATCGACCCACGCGTCAAGTTATTTACAACTTTCAAGTGTTGCCTTTTCATTAATAACTCGTCAGACATCGACCGTTCGTTTACAATAAAATAACAAAAGAACGAGTCAATACAATTAATTTAGTAACCATCCCCGCTTACTCTCGCCGAGACATTTCCACAGGCATTTTCTCCGATCGGCTCCGTTTAACAGCTAAAACAATTAATTACCGGGACAACTGTCTTCCCACACTTTCTAAGCTATTGTGTTGGAGTGAGACAATCATATCTCGCATTTATTGTCATATAGATTGATAGGAGGGCGATCACGATGTTTCTGTTCGAATAAAAAAAAATGTTTTTGTCCACTGTTGACTTTCTTCTGTAGTTAGCACGATCAGAGAGCGCGCACGCGTGACGTTATTAATCCGTCACCGCGGGGACCGTCAGGGATTATTTTTATTTATTTTTCAAAAGGTATGGGAACGAACGTCAAGGTTGGCATTCCTGTGACGCTTCGTTTCTATCAAAATTAGTGCAATATGTTGTCGCGATTTTTATACTAGCAAAAATAATGGTTTACATAAGTGTCACATTTATAAAATGTGGTAAAACATTACACAGTATTTGCCTTATTTATAAAATCATTAATCGCCTCATAAACCTATTTTAACTATTGAAGTGTTGTCTCTTCGTTTAGCACCAACTCCTCAATTTTAAAGTTTTAGCTTTTATGAATAAAAGGGGTTTATACATTTTATAAAGCAAAATTATATCAATTTTTTTTTTTCTAATTTACATTTTTTTTTTATTTAAAAATTATTACAATATCGGTTTTAACTAGAACAATATTTATTGTCCAGGTTTTTGTCAAGAGAAGTATTTTCCTTTTCATTTTTTTTCCACTCCTCTCCTCTATGTTCAAGATAAAAGGCAAAATTTATTTACGTTATTACCAATGGACTTTTTTTTTATATAACTTAGAATGGTTTAACCACCTGACGGAAAATGGTAACCGTAACCTATAGTTTGTGCTCATTGTGTATGTTTCGCCCATGGTAACATCCGCCCATGCGTTGCTATTCCTAAGGTCTAAAGTGTTATGCTTCTGTGCCCTGTAAATTGACTGCCATATCCACCCTTCAAACCGAAACTCAGCCAAGCAAACACAACTGCTTCACGGTAGAAACAACAGACGGGACAGAGATTCCCAAACAAACGACTTTTATACACCCTCCCTCTGGTAAATATCATAAATAGAGCTATTAGATATTTCACCAATTTCTTCCTATAAGAGACAGCCCGTGTATATTAGCCTATACTAGCCTAGCCTATATGGCCAAGAAACATAGTACAGCGCGTTAGAGATCAGCATTCCAACCTCCCAAAAAAAAACCAACTACGTGACAATATCGGACAATTGAATTTAAAACACTAAACAAAGTGAAGAAAACGAGAGCTACTAGGTCACGATGGTGTTTATTCAATTCGGGTGACCCCATTTTAAAAATCGTGGGCTGATCCGGCGCTCAATTCGGACCTCAGATTCGCAGTAAAAATATTAGAACCATTTTAACGCCACTTATAGCGTTAAATTCAAAACTGAACTTAATATGTATGTACATTGTTTTAAAACATGGAGAGACATCTATAAATTGTAACAGAAAATGCTATCATACAGAGCACGACAGATGGCGCTAATCAAAGTATATAAAATGTGTATGCATACAAATAATGTATACTTATGATAAATCTGTAGAGAGGTCAATTCTGTAGATGAAATATATTTCCAAAATAACTATCAGGGGGTGATTAGTGATCGATACTGATGCCAAAAATGCAATCAGTAAAATTTGTCTGTCTGTATGTTCGTTATAGAAACAAAAACTACTTGACGGATTTTAACGAAACTTGGTACAATTATTCTTCATACTTCTGGGCAGGTTAAAGTACACTTATCATCACGCTACGGTCAATAGGAGCAAAGCAGTGAAGGGAAATGTTGGGAAAATGGGATAAATTACTTTTTAAGCTTCCGTCGCGTGTGTAGCCTTAATAGCCACTTTTTAAAATGTAAAAATGTCTACCCATGCGAAGCCAGGACAGGCCACTAGTTTAGAAATAAATGTAATATTTACTGTATAATAAAACAAATTTATACAAAATATATTATTGTCTGACGACTTTTATTGCATTCGTTAAAAAAAAAATATTTACTTTTCCTTGTATTGCTATCATACTATAAAACACTGACTAAAGATAATACTAGAGTACTAGGATTACATGGTCTAAAGATATCCTTATTATAAAAACAAAATTTATCACTAAATAGTAGATAATCTATGGTCTAAATATGCTAATTTACGAAATTTATAAGCTCAATTACATAGGTCCATTAATTTAGTCATCCATCAAAACGTCCATATATTAAGAATTTCTCTTTAATTGGAGAACCCTACTTTCATATTTACGATATTTCAAATTTAGATTGTAATACCTTTTGTTTTTATATTGTACATTGCAAGTAATTTTCGACAATAAGCATTTTTTTTTTATTATTTTGTTTACTATCATTCATTATTTATTATAATTATTATCGTTGACAAAGAAATGGGCGTCGGTTAAAAATGGCGGCAACCATAGACGTCAACCGTCGTCAAATGTCAGCTCAACTATATTAGTCACTTGGCACTCGATGCACATTTGGAATAAATTATCTAAATAAACTTTTCGATTACGGCGATGCCGATGGCGGTTTGTTTGATTTGATATATTTAATCGAAGTCATGCCAATTATAAGCAAAACGATCAAAAATTATACTTATATCTAGTATATAGAGTTCAATTTACAGCAAGGCATTCGCTTTATTAATTTGAACTCTCAAGCTTATCTTTGGAAAAATAATATTTTCATTATAAATAATTCATTTCCCTTGGCATATAAAATTATATATTTACGTACCTGTTTGCGGGGTTTCGTTTGGGTAAATGTCAAACGTTGCATCTTTCATTAAGTACTTATGGTATTATTAATAACATAATGCGTTAAAATTGCCCGTCATAACCCTCACCTTTGCCTATGCAACCTTTCAGCCTTGTGTTGGACCTGTGGCGTAAGTAGATGGATTTCGTAATCACTTGCCATCAGGTGTCCATGGACTTATGGAGTCGATCATTATATCGTGTTAATACACAATAAATATACATATATGGTAGATAAAAGTCTGGGGATACGTAAGACTTACGGAAGCTTTGAACTAAATCTTGGAAGTTTGGGAAAAATATCTACCTTTCACGCTTTAGAAAAAGGGAGTCATATTTAAGTTAAGAATAGTATTTAACTGACCTAGATGTTATTTTGTGAAAGTCCATATCACTGGTTGGTCGATTAAAATTACTTTAATTCCGTTAGCAATGGTCACAAGCATACTAATGGCAGAGGAATTAAACAAAACAATTCTAATGGAGTAACTTAACAAGTTTCTAATAACTCTGTAAAGATACGTTAATAATAATAATTAAGAATAAATATAATCAATCCCTAGTATCTAATACATTTAAACTGCACAAAATTCAACGCAAAAAAATGGCAATACAAACAATTTGCCCGTGGCGATTCAATACAATCCGAAACAGTAACATATATGCGCTATTATATGCGCTAGCAACAGTGGGTAATATGCCCGCAGTTGATGGCTTAATGCTGAGATACCATTTAGTAATTTATTTTCTCTTTTATAATTACGATTATATACTTCTTGTAAAGTTGTTTTCCGGCCAATGTTTTCTATTCTATTCCATATAAAAGACTATAAGGTACCGACGCACAGAAAAGAACATCCGACTTTGATTAAAAAAAGTGGCAAGAATGACCATTTGTAAACCGATGAACAAGAAGTCCGTCATTTGCTCGACATCCTTCATGAAGTGTGGTCAATAAAGAATAAATCCCTTATTCATAAAAGCATGAAAACTCTCATAAACCTTTATTAGCTATTAAATTATTCTGTCTTTTTCTGTTACGCTAATTACTGAATAAAAAAAAAAGTGACAAAAATCTAATAGTTAAAATAGGTTTGTAGTACGTTTTAATTTTAATGAATAAGGGTGCTAAATAGATTATTGAAAAATTATTGACAAAAATAAGTCCAAACCGCGTAAACACACGCCTTAATATGTTTTTCAAGTAAACCAAGTCGTATGGCCACTTACCTTGTAAATTGTCGAGCATGTACGTCAACAGTTTCGCGGTGCCGTTGTTGTCATTGTATATGGACAGCATCTCCTTACTGAGCGGGTTTCCCTGTAGCCCGAGCATCTGCAGATGGAACAGTTTGCCGAGCTCGTACGGCAGAACCCTTAGATAGTTGTTGTGCAGGTGCAATTCTCTGAAAAGGTAGCATCTGGTCATTGCTAGCTCCCATATCATACTTTTATCCTACTTCGTATACACGAGAATAACGGCCTAACAACTTAAATGACTGTGGGCCCAATACAAACATTTGAATAGCTATATCTCTGTTTATATTGGTCCAAGTGTTGTCTATGTACAATAAGTATTTATAAATAATTAAAAATTAAATCTTACACAATTATTTTGATCTAAAAATTAAACTGTTAAACCGATTTTGATAAAAATTCTATGGAACCAATTTCTTAGTATATATATCCTTTCAGATAAAAAAGTAATTTTTCAAATCGGTTTAGAAGTAACGGAGTTATGAGGTAACAAACGTAAAAAAAATATGACTAAATTAAGAACTTATTTTTAATGTTTAAGAAAAGTAGGAATGTCTAACAATTGTCTAGTCCACTGCAAAAATCTTGCTCAGTTTGAGAGTACAGAATGCCATATCTATAATATGTTGAGTGGTATTTATGTACATAGTAAATAATCTTCACATGTCTGATAAAGCTTTACTATGTAATAAAGCGTCAGGGTCGAATTTTATGTCTCATTACGTGAATATAGCTGAGCGGATGTCAAGGAAATTTAAATCTTATATACTTTTAATGTAACGCAGAAAAGGTAGTGTCTGGTTATTGTTATCCCGCTATACCCTTTCCCTTCTTAATTGGCATATGAATGAAACGAATGAATAAAATTTTATTGGCAACTCAATTTGATTTTTTTTGGCAACTGCAGTTAGGCTTTGGTAATGTTTCAAAACGAACGCTGCTGCCCATTCCTCAACGATAAAGTTCTAAGTTCTCGCCTCTTACGACATCCACGGGAAAGGAAGGAATGACCCATTCTACGCTATAGTAATTTAATTAAATACATAGATTCACAGTTTAATTCTAAAACTAAGAAGATACACACTTTGCCAATGTGGACATCACGCGGCATATGCTGTGACAACATATGTAGGAAATAGTTAAACAAGTTTTTTTAATGAATTTATATCTGTTATTAATCGCTTTTTATTCATTACCACATAGAAAATAATTCGACTATTCGTTGGTATGCACTAGCGCAGTGTATTGTACTGTATTGTTCTTATTTCTCTAATTACGTCTTATACCCTGGAAATGTAAAGAATTGGTCATACATTGTGTTATTATTGCTATACATTAGTGGCGACAAAGATTTCTTTAGTCATGTCAAGACAGAACAACACAGACAGAATCACGTGAACCCTATAAGTTCACATTCAAATAAACAATATATACATATATATAAACAGGCGTTCCTTTATTCTACGGAGCGATTCACGCGAAGATATATCAGACAATCGACAAGACAGGTAAATAACTTAGTCCGCGATATGTTTACTAATATAAGCAATTTGCATACTTATCATAACAGTGGGCGAGTTCAAAGACCTCTTAGTAAATACCTAAACAAATTGCTTTATTGTTATTCAATATGTACATCTGTGACTCGGCATATTGACATACAAGATGTGTGCCAATATAATAGATTTATTTGTATTTAAAAGATCTTGAACATTTAATGTACTTTTCATTCAAACACTGGAGAAACCCATCATTGTATGTCTTAGTACAATGCGGGTCACAGGTCAGCCAAGCCATATAAAAAATTACTTAAACATAAATTATGGTTTCAACAAAACAGTTGAGCAACACAAACTATGTATGATTGACTTCAGAACTTCCGATTCTAAAAAAACCCAACACATTTTTCGAGTTAAGTTGAAAGGAAAATTATTACTAACATTTTGAGTAACTCTTTAGTGTAGCGCGAGAATTCTGATTTGGAAAATAAAAATGGGTTTCCGTAGATCAGTTTTTTGTAATACAGGAAAGCAGAACAGCTGAAGAAAATGTGGTCAAGAGACTGATTATCTTCATGACCGTAATCGAATGTAGGAGACTAAATTAATTTTAGTCGATGGAGGTGCATATTATATTGACCATGTCCAAGTCTTAGTCTACTGATCGTAGAATAAATCTACATAGCAAGAGTACAACCACATGATCGGTACGATGTCAATAAAGGTGGGATATGACAATGTAATATTAAGATATGAAGGCATGACTTTGTCCTCTGGAGTAGTAACGCATGCCATGTACTATAGGTGTCAGGTCATTCTATGTCTATAGACAATAGAGTTGTATTTTTCATTAAATAGGACATTGGCTTCTTCTGCCAGTATAAGTTGCTTAAAATATTTGTTTAACACATTAAGTCAGAGATGGCGCTGTCGTTATGGAAATTGCCAGTGTACACTAAAAAAAATGTAAGTCATTTAAATAAATAAGTCAAATATAAGTCAAGTCATTTAAATAAACAAGTATCATCATATTTCCGCCTACATTCCTTGGAAAATATTGTTCAATTTCATGAATACTGTCAGTGGATTTAGAGTTGTAACTATATTCGTTACATTTGTATTGGCCATCCAAAATTTCAAATGTAAAGAATATCGCATCCAATATTTATTGTCAACTGTATGTCAACCCTAGAAGTCTTATACAGGCTTTTTGAAGTACTCAATACCGTATTTTAGAACTACTTTGGCTACATTCGTCGATTGTTACTGTTGTGGTGAACTTAGCACATAGCGTGCGCATATTTCCCCGAGCATAACTATGAACACAAGAAAATTCATAATTATTTATACAACTGATGTTTTAAATATACATGCTGATCACATTAGCAATGTCGTGCAGAGAATATTTTCATTTATGGTAATTAAATTACATGTATTTATTTCCAATGGAATAAACAGTTGTGGCATCGACCGAGAGCGATGTAGCATAGTGGTTAACTAACTCTACCCATAAAACCAATGAAATACGGCAATGTTTGTAAATTCAAATCTGGCTGACATCATAGTATGTGACGATTTTTTTTCTTTTATACCACACAGGTCGCATATAAGCATATAACTAATCTGATGCTAAACGGTCACTGTAACTTCTGCACGCCTGCCTGCAGAACCAGGGGTGTCACGTGCACACTGTCGATCTTGAAGAAACCTGAATACGTCCTTTTTAAGGAGCCCCATACTGTAGTATATTTTGAAAACCTCGGCAAAGAGCCCATTCCACAATCTCAGTATTCGCGAGAGAAATTTCCCCTGAAACCGCTTTGCGCTCTCTGCTGATAGTATATACCATTATTAAACAAATCATTTAAAACTGATTATTAGATTTTCATGGTAAGTAGACTGGTTATAGACCAGCCAAGTGCACAACGAAACACGCTGCCAAATTCGAAGATCAAATCACACGGCAGGCGAGCTAGCTATGAACGCATCATCTTAAATGAGAGGATTAAAAACTCCGCAGTATACGAATCATAAGAGGATCTGTTTTGCATAATCCGTTGATGTAAATGTACTAGTTCATTAATATTACGTACTCAGTCCAAAAGGCTTATTAAACTCGATGGGTTAAACTAAATCCTATTACGACGATTCGTGAAAGGTGAGCTTTTTAACCCCCCGAAATCTGAAGAGCAACTGTGGCCTATGGCGCAATACCTTCCGATTAGAAACGTCGCGTACCATTACATCGATATTACTAAATTCTGGAACTGCGCAGCGGGAGTTCTTTCCCACGATCCGTTTGTTATAATTCCAGATAGAAACTACATAGCTAAGTGTAAACTTTCCAGATATTGTTAAAATTTGAAGAAAAGTAGGATAGAAAAAAGCATTACATAAAAGAGTTTTGACGTCATCAGATAAATTTGTAGGGTGATTTCTAAGTTCAAGTTGTGAACGTAAGCAGTTAGGTCATTTGACCCATCGCGACGATTTTACCAGGAATCAACGATGATGATTTCCAGAAGGGACCGTGTGTAGGTCAATCTGATATATTGTATCGGGTATATTGGTAGTAATGTAACCAAACTGTACTGGAATCAATATGAATAGGGGCGCCCAGTAACTACGTGCGAGCACGTAGACGGCACTTATTCGATGTTCCATTACGAAGAACAAAGTTGGCTAAGCAGGCTCCCCTCTCTCTTGCATTGAAACTACTCAATGATATTTTGAACCAGTACCCGCAATTGGATGTATTTGCCTCCAACTTGCTGGAGTTTCGTCGAGTGATCACAGAGTATTTGTGTTTAGACGTTTTTTGTTCGAGTTAAATCTTTTTAAATTATTTTTGTGTACGAGTAATATTCCTTTTTGTATGTTATTGTATTCATGCTTTCCTGGGTGAGCGTATTGGAAGACTGTAAGGCTCACCCAGTGGATTTAATAAACAATTAAATTACTAGTGGTGAGTAATATATAGCAATATAGCTATATACTCATCCAATAACGAATATGTTAAAAAATATGTTACTCAAAAAAATAATATTGGTTAACAGACTTTTAACATATTCGACAATAGATAACCAACCGATATGGGTGATATCGAAATGAGTGATGACCTTTTTTCCACAATCAATGTCCAGAGGATCCCAATATATAGATAACGGATCAGTATCCATATTACCCATGCCGAATTACTAGTTCCCATTACTTCCCTCCCCATTGTAGTTTATCCACTCGATACCATTCAAGGATGAGAATACGAATAGATATAACCGTCACGGATTTAGTCATGGGAATTGAACCATGGGTTAGATACCAATATGTTCCACGACACGCAAACTAATATTATGTTTACCATAACGGACATCACCATTAAATTTCTGAATATCCCTATGAGATTACAGTCAAAGGCTTATAAAATTTTAAAATACATAGTTTTATATACCTACAGTCTTTAAAGCAAAGTATAATGACCTGATTTCCTACCTTGCCATTTTATTACTCGGTAAACATTACCGTGTACTTACAATTTATACAATGACCGCATCGTGTAAAAACTTTAATGACGTCATAGAGTCGTTAATTATTTTGTATGTTATTACAGCTATAACTACATTTATTTGTATTGTAAAATACCTAAGCATTTA